TGTGGCAACGAGATAGGGCTGCTGAAGTCAGAAAAATGATTTCATTTCTTTCACACAAGGATGTAAAGCAGAGTGGAAAATTTTTAGTAGTGTTTCTTTTGCTTTCCCGAGTGGAAAATCCATTGGATCCCTTTACTGAGACGTTTGTTACATTTTACCAAGAATTAAAGGGACTAGAAGACATGGTCTGCATTTGCATTGGAACAGGTACATACCAGCGGTGGAAAGACCTTCTTCATGCTAGAGGTATTAAAGAGGAAGAACTTTCAAACAAATGTGTTTCTAATTTAACCCTGGAGATGGTAAATGGTACTATCACAAGAGCAAAATCAATGACAAAGTCTTCCAAAAGACTTCTGCCATCTGTTGGTGGTTCTACCACTGTCCTAAAAAAGGAAGAAGATTTTGTAGAAGCATTGGAAATCCTATGTGAAAATGAATGCAAGGACACAGAGATAGAGAAGGATGAAGAACAATTTAAAAAATTTGTGGAAAAGAAGGAAAAAGATTTTTATCGAGGTGGTAAAGTGTCATGGTGGAATTTTTATTTTTCTTCTGAAAATTATACATCAGTTTTTATCAAAAGGGATCGTTACGAAAACCTTGAAAATCTAATTGTGTCTTTCTCAAACTGTGCTAATCAGTCACCTGTAGAAACTGTCAACCTTTACCACCATCCTGGCTGCGGTGGGACAACATTAGCTATGCATATCCTATGGAACCTCCGAAAGCAATTCAGATGTGCCGTTCTGAAAAACAAAACAGGTGACTTTGGAACGCAGCTGACAACTTTAGTCACCTATGGAGCAAACAACAACAGTGGCTATTTACCAGTGTTACTTCTTGTGGATGATTTTGAAGATCAAGAAAACGTCTATCTTCTGCAAAAAGAAATCGAGGAAGCTATAACAGAAAAATGCATTCCATATGTAAATCCTTTAGTGATCATTCTAAACTGTATGAGATCTCAGAATCCTGATGAAAGTTCCACAATCAACCCCTTGAATAGCATTTCTTTGAAACAGGTTCTTTCTGAAAAAGAGCAGAGAGCCTTTGATCAGAAACTAAAGGATATTGAAAAGATGCATAAAAATCCTGACAATTTCTATTCGTTTATGATTATGAAGAAAAACTTTGATCCAAAGTACATAGAAAAAGTGGTAAAAAAAACCTTGCATAACTTGAATATAGACTCTAAACCAGCACAACTTGTTTACTATCTAACACTGTTGAACTCTTACGTAGGAACATCTGCACTTCCAATATCACTGTGTGAAGAATTCTTGAGAATTAAGTCTCGAGAGACTGGCAACAAAGACAGACTGATAGAAAAAATGGGAATTTGTTCTAATATTCTAATGTATGTTCAGATACAGGAAAACACAAGATACCGAGGTCTACGTATTGTTCACCCATTGATAGCATGGGCCTGCCTAACAGAATTTAAGCTAACCTATAACTTGTCTAAAAGTGAAATTATATTGCAGTTATTGAATGAGGATTTATTTTATTTATTTTATGAGTCTTCATTAAAGAAAGACAAACTTATTTGTGACATACAAACCTTGCTGATTACTAGACAGCGCAAAGAACACGGTGATGAGTTAGATACGTTGTTTTCCCCTTTAATTGAAGCCATTCAAATAGAAGAGAAGTCTGTTACAGTGGAATGTGTGTTAAGACAAGCTTCCAATAGATTTAAGGAAAATGCTCTCATTTGCCAAGTCTTAGCAAGACACTTTTACATCAAAGAAAAAAATTTTGACTTAGCTTTACTCTGGGCCAAAGAAGCCAAGCGGCGAGCACCACACAATTCATACATATCAGATACACTAGGTCGAGTCTTTAAAAGTCAGCTAAGGTACCGGATAGACCACAAAATAAAGAGTGCAAGTTTAACAGCTGAGGAACTGGAACATCTGCTAGATCTCGCTCACAGTGCTTCACAAGCTTTCAGACTATCTCAGCAGCAAGCTGAAAATGAAGACAATGTACGTTCCCAGCGTCAAAAGCTTAAAAGAAAGTTTCAAAGTTACAATACTTCTGGTTATCTGGGAGAGATAGAAACTGGTCTTCATATTATTGATGTCCTTATGCTTGTTCCTTTTATCAACAAGGAAGTCTTGCAGTGTAGAGAAAACATGATAAAGCATCTATCAGAAATTAGTGGCTTAAACATAGAGAGTGAAATGTTTGCAGCACTTAAGCGTTATTCCAGCTTTATAAATAATTTGCAATCACATTTGAAAAGGGCATTTGATTTTTTTGAAGACTACTTTGTGTTTTTCAAAACACAGATGAATGAAAGAGAAATTACAGAAGCAAACATATACAAGAAGGTTCAAGAATGCTTTACCAAATACACAAAAATATTTTGTGATTGGAACACTGACCAACTGAGAAGTCAACAGTTCTTAAGGTGGCCCTTGACTCAGAAAATAGAAGCATTCAGAAAGATGGTGGAGGCTTCCAAAGCAGACTCGTTTTCTGGACTTTTGGCATACCTTCTCAAAAATGACAGAAATGATGACAGAGAAATAGAAAACATAGTACGTGCATATGCATTTTTGTGTGATGAGAATTCACAAGCAACACTAAAAGAAAAACAGAATTTTATTTTGGCAAATGTTGTTCTGAACTGCATTAATCCTAAATCCACTGAGTTACAGCATTTTAAAAAGCTAAGAATTCAACTTCTAAGTATTCTGGACAGAGTGGAACCAAATTCATACTGTGTAGAGCCTTTCTTTCTTGCCTCCTTGTTGTTCTGGCCTGAAAATAGAAAACAGCTAAATGAAGATTCCAGGAAGATGGAATATTATCTTATGCGCCTAAGTGAATCTTTCAAAAAGCTCTATGGAACTGTGCATCATTCCAAGCAATCTCTGGCTCATTTCTATCTTGCAAAAGGCAGTGGTCTGAACAGATTTGTTCACAAACGAAAGATAGACCAGCTTTTTAGCTCACTTCCAGAACAAAAACTGAATTCCCTCTGGCAGAAAGGAAATATCTGGAAGGAAAAGGCTGTTAATGATCTTTTGCTTCCTTTAGATGGGATAGCTGAGGGTACAGTTATCTATGTGAACTATGGCAGCAATGAACCCTTTAGGATACCAGTACAGCCCGCTCTTTCATGCCTACTGAAAAATGACCCAAACATACAAAGAGTGTCTTTTTACCTCGGTTTTTCTATTGCTGGTCTCCTGGCATACAACATACAAAGTCTATAATTAAAACAGTAAGAGCTGCATTTTCATATAAATTATATATATACGAATAAACAAATTACAAATATTACAAACAAATATTTAGAAAACAAAAACATAATATTTAGAAAATGTGATGGAATTTAAATGCCATGAATCTTAACAAGCCTGCTTTGTTGGCTTTTTTGCTATTACTTCTAGGGCAGGATGCTTCACCACTATTCTCATACTTTTGTATAATGTAAGAAGAAGGAATATATTCCATAAAACATACACCATGTAACATTTCCTGATGCTCCTTTGTACCTGGTGAAATCTCAACACAAGAGGAATATTATAGCTATTTTATAATATAGTTATTTTAGTTTCAAAGCAGGTGTTTGTAAAGGTGTTGTTGGTTTGTTTTTTTTTTTGCTTTTCTCATTATACACGTTTGAATAATGTCATGCATTTGTTTACAAGCCTTTACTAATATCCAAGATGTGCACCTTGTGAGATGACAGAAGCACTTTTACTTCCTCAGGGCATTACAAAATCTATGATTGTTAAAGATGCAGCTACTTCCCGCTCCATAGTAAAAACAAACCCGTTTGAAGCCAATTTAAATATATTTTATTCTTTTGTGGTGGGTCTGCTACTGCTTTTTAAAAAATAAAAAGATACATTTTGGACTTTCTTTTCATTACAAAATTTCATTAGTTCCTTCAAGCTCACTTATTGCAAAAAATATGAAATTTAAATACTTTAAATTATCATTGACTGCATTGGCTTCCTCATGTGTGTAAACCTACCTGCTTTGTTTGGACAAAATCATCATTCCAAAAACAATAAAGTATACTGATGTGAAACACCAGAAACATGAAGTTACTGCTACCCAGCAGGGAGGAGGCAGGGTGCAAAATGTAGCATTTTTTCACTATATGCAGTTCATGAAAACTGGAGCAGTTCGATGCAATTAACTTCTTGAGAAAGGTCTGCAGGATAGATCTTTTATCACCCTGCAGGTTCTCTTTGCACCTTATCTCAGGCAAGGAGGCAAGCAAAAATAAATGACTTCTCAGAAGAAGGCTGGGAAAAATTACTGACAAAAAGAAAAAGAATAAAGTATTATGCCATCCTGCTGTAATGCAACTCTTTCAGTTGCAAATGTGGAAAAGTAGGTTTACTATATAACGCAGACTGCTCCTTAGTCAAAATATATTTATTTTGGCAACTTCCTATTGCAGTAACCATTTCCCTCTGACTGCACACTGTTTTATCATGTATGCATTTTGTTTCTAATGGTATACTTTTATTTCAGGTGGGATGCTATAGGATCAAGTTGAATAGTAATTCATAATTTGTTCTAATTAGTTCTTAGGAGGTCACGGTACAATTTAATATTGTCTATTTACTCTTCCAAATAAAGATTTACAGCAAATAATTTGCCTTGTCTTCTTCAGAGCAACTGGAGACTTCAGTCTTCACCTCAGTCACGTTTCATAAGAATTGCAAGTTTAAGTAATGTTTGAAAAGAGCAGTAGCTGCGGGGCAGCTTAAATGGAGGAGACATGGAAGAGTGACACATGAAAGGGAAAATCACTGGGGCATGGCTGGAGATGCATTGCTGGAAATGAGAGATGCAGGCTGAGGCTGGGACACCTCTGAGGGGCTGAAGCATAACTCAGATAGACATACAGGAAATAAATCAGGAAGAAGGAGAAGTGGAAAAGATGACGAAAATGATAAGAAGGACAAGCAGCAAAAAGAAAACACTACACGCAGACACCAACTTCCTTTGCTTCTATTCACATTTCTAGAAGCACTGGGAAGGACTGAGTATGACACCTCGTGAAGACAAAGCTGGACGCATAAAGAGGTGCTGGACTGAAGTTCAGCCTGAAGAAAAGGAAAAAAATGCATTTCCCAATGATGATCTTTAAGCTCCCTTTCAACACAAACACACAAACAGTTCTAAGTTTGCTTAACTGTCTTTTTGGTTTGTCAACAGTCCTATTTTTAAGTTGGCAATAAATAAAGTTAAATTGCCCAGTTTGAGACTGTTTTGCCTGTAATGTGCCCATTTACTAATAACCCTTTTGTTCTGGCATAGCGGATTACGTGCTAGGCACACTACATGCCTATGTGAGTGTACAAAAGCAGATTTTATTACTTTTATACACCAGTCTGTTTCTTATAAAATTGTATTTTTATCAGTAGTAGCTCATTAATAAATACAGGTATTTGATAACATCCTTAACTGTGCAGTGAGGAAGTATATTTGATAATATATATCATATGCAAAGATCAACAGAATTGCTCTTTACAAGCATTTCCTATTTTCCATTACTTTGTAAGATGGTTTATAACTTTGTTAATCACTACATTTAAAAACTAAACTCTCCCATGCCAAATATCTGCCTCAGATTTATTTTGTATTAATTAAAGTCTAAGAGCTCAGTAGCTTCCAAGATTTAGGTTAAGAAAGAAATATGCTGTAGTGCCCAGGGTAAATAACTCTTCCAGCTTTTTCCAGCATGCTCTGGATTCTTTGGAGGAGTTTAAGACATTTTTTACTCTGATAGGAAAGAAAAGGTGGAGGTGAAGGGAAATACAACGGCATGAATTTGTTTGCAAAGCCCGAAAAGACTGTCATTTATATATGGGCTTATGCAAACTTGGATTTTTATATCCATGCCTATGCAGATGGCAGTCCCAGAAGCTGCAAGTCCGGACTACCACACGCCAAGTCTAAGCTATCAGTGCTGAGGCTACAAACCTGGAGGAAAGAGCTCAACTCAGCATGGCTGTACAGAAGCCAAGGCCAGGCGTGTAAGGACAGTGAGGGACACCCAGGATGCTGTTTAGCTTTCACAAATGGCAATGCTACCTCAGCAGCAATCTCCATTGTGTGGTCCAGCTGCTGGAGGAGCCAAGGCCCCACTGCACCCAAGCTGCCTTGGAGGACTGTGCATTTCTGGAGGAGCCCAGCCTCACTCCTGCCATGGTTGGGACTGCAGGAGAAGAAGCACAAAATGATTCTGTCCTCTCAGTGCAGCCAGCTCCTGCTGATGCCATAGTCCCATCACTAAACAATCACAGGTTTTATTTCAACACAAGCCTGTTTGGCACAAGGCCTTCTACAGGAAAAAAAATAAAATAAAATAAAAAATGTGTGAGACCTAAAAACTTAAGGTTGAAATAAACTAAAATATCTGTGGGACAAGAAAATAAGGGAGAACAAATCCTATTATAAATGAGAGCTGCGTTTACCTACAGCATTAGTGGGCAGAAGGCCTGAGTTAGAGGGCTGAGCGGGCTCCTGCCAGCAGTCGCAGCACATGCAATCGCTACTGGTCCTCGAAGAGAGACGGGCTGGGGGCTTTGGGTGTGTGCGGTGACTGGTTTACAAAAACAAAACAGGAACAGGACACGAACTTTGGGAACAGGACACGAAATGGCAGGCTCGGGGCCGCCGGCGGGCAGCAGGCGGTGCTGTGGCTCTGCGCAGCCCATGGGACCGCCCGAGAGCGAGGGGAAGCGCGGCTGCCGCCAGCAGGCCGAGGGGAGCCGGGCGGTTCGGTTCCCGCAGCTGTTCCGCAGCAGGGAGCTCTCCTCCGCGTGAGGGCAGCGGGAAGCTGCCGCCCAGACGGGACTGGGGAGCGGCCGCGGGGAGCAGCCTTCAGCTGCAAACGCCGTTGTACCCAGCACAGAGCCACGCCGGGGTGCTTCTGCAGAGCCTGGTCCGGAAGGCAACCAGGGAAATATTGACGCATCCAGAGCGAAAAAAGTTGTGCTTCCTCTCCTGGGGTCCCAGGCGTGGCAGGAGCAGGGCTGGGCTCTGCTAGGGGCCTTGCCCGTGCTGAGGGGTGCCTGCAGCACCGGGAGTCTGTTACTTGGGGTTGATCTGGAAGCACAGCCATCATACAGTGAGGGGAGTGCTGGCCACCACGAGGCCTTACTGCAGGAATTCTGGGGGCTCCGCGCTGCAGAAAGGTTTTTCAGTTTCCTTTTGCCTACTGGAACCACAAGCCTTCAGTTTGTGTAACATGTCACAAGACGACTTCTGACTTCCTCTTCATGCGCATTCGCGTGTTCTTTGCTTTTGCTTAAAAGCACCAGATGAAAAACTTGCCCTTTCCTAAAGGGCTCTACTGGTTCTTGCAGAGCCTGCACTTTGGATGCTGTGTCTGAACAGAGGCTGAGCCAGGCTGTAGTGCTACGTTCTGTGCAGCTATGGCTGCCACGGGAGAGGCCTGGCTTCGCAGCAGGGGTGGAAGAGAAGGCTAGCAAGCTACAGCAGCAAGAAATGCAATAAGAGTTATGAATTAATAATGGTAATAATGAGGAGGAATGAGAAAGAAGGGAAAAAGGAAGACCTATCCTCTTGCTAGTTTCCAACCCTCTTCAGTGGTAACACCTGTGTTTTAAGTTTTTTAGCTTAGGAAAATGAGAATAAGAGCACATGCTGACTTTATAAATTCAATCAAAGTGGATTCACTTTGTGTGTGATGAGAAGTGTGTGCTGCAAGGAGACAAAACATGCAAAGATTTACAGAGAATACCTCAGACACTGTCAATAATGCAAATGAATTACCACCTCCTGAGACACTGATGAGTGGAACATGAGATCCCAACAGCTGAGATACTTGGTAAAACTTCCACAGGGATCAGCCTGTGGGAATCTTCAGGATAATGATGATCAGAGTGGCCACAGGGATCATTTGGGAGCTACATGTTGATACATGGATATGCTCTCCCAAAAGGCCAAGAGAGACAAAGAAAAGGCAGGGATGAGAATGTTGTTAAAAGGAGAAACAAAATGAAGTTTTAAAGTCAAGCCTGTTTAAGCTATTTGTAACAAACCTTGCAAGTGTGGTTTCTACGTCAGATCAAGAAAATACAGCTGATATTTGTTGTTAAATTTCTTCAGCCTGCAATCATCATGAAAAGGTAAGTATCATGAGAACCAAAATGAGCACAATAGCAAAGAGAAATACCCTTCTTGAGAATGAAATGAAATGTCAAGAACTTAAGATCTGCAGTGAGCTCATAAGGCAAGTTGAGGGAAGAGATCAGGAAAGGGAAAGTGAAGGGAAAGGAAGAACATCTCATTACCATTGTAATTCACAGGTTTTCTGTGATAAACAGTGTTTTTTTAATATTGAAGTGAATTTGTTTATAACAAACAAATTAAGATGAAACACTTAGTATGCAGTGATCATCTTCAGACTCAAAAAAAATATTTACTGAGTTAAGCTAAGATTTAAGGTAGTTACTTTTCACTTTGCTACTGTGTTAAGGAAACATTCCTGTCATCTAAGATGACTAGTACATCTTTCAGTTTCAACTGCTGAGGAGTTCACCACTAATTTATAATCTTGAATGAGATAGGCATTTAAAAACTAGGATCTCAAAATAAAATTATGAGTAGATTGCTGAGACGTGTTGGCAAATTTCTGGTCCAATATGAGGTTGATTGTTTTGTTTTTATTTAGTCAAGACCATGTGCAATGCAAGCAGGATATATGAGCTATATATATATATATATGTATGTATGTATGTATGTATGTATGTATGTATGTACTTCAAATGGTTATGTCTATGTTGTCTTTCTCAATTAAATCCCAAGAAGTTGTAAAGTTACATCTGCTTAATTCAGTGGTTCAGTGGCTTTGCTAGGCTAGTTTCCTTCTTTTTAAATTAATGGCCAGAAAAGATAATTAATGGCCAGAATGCTGGATTCCATTCTGGCCTGTAAATCTTCAGCAGAACCGGTGCTGAAGTTTCAATGACAAAATCATTATTGAGAATGATTACTGAGCCAGAGAAAACCATTGATTCATGTTCAGATTTTTGACTGAATTTGCAGATGCTAGGAAGTGAGAAGATTTGGTGGGAGGTCTGTGAGAGACGTTGAGATGGGATCTTGCTATAAAATTTTTAGAAAGCTCTGCTTCGGAGAAGCACTGCACTCCAGAACTGCTTTGGGGTTTGTGTAAAAAGAGACTGCAAAACTGTGCAGGAGCAGTGCACTCAAGAACTGTTCAAAGGAAATGAATGCTGTGTTTAAAACAATAATCCCTTTGGCTGATTTACATGTGTTCCAATGGGTAAATTAACTGGTGTTTTTCTCATACGTGACTCAAGTGTTTTCCATACCTCAGGCCTTTTGTTTTTCAAAGAGAACTATCCCAGAAGGAAGGCAGAGATTCTGCATATACGTTGACCCTACCTACTCCTAACAGAAGTGCAGTTGCCTCTTGTGACATGGTATCCAACAGAAAGAAATGGATACACAGTTGAAGACAGTTTGTGACTCTGTAGCATACATCTCTTTAGATATAAAATAGTCTAAGCCATGTGATCCCTGTTGTTATGTTCTAGAGGTTTAATATAGCCATTCTTTTTTTACATGATACTCTGACCTGCTCATGTATTAGTGGCATATAAAACCTGCCTTTGGAGCTGAAACTTACTCAGCCTTGTTGCATATCTTTCATTTTACCTCTATCTTTGTTTTATAAAACTCTCCCTGTGCTGTCTCTTGGAAAGAAATACATCAGACTTGTGTCCCCCAACAGAGCTGTGGTCTCTAAGGAAACATGTACATTAATTAAGGAGAAGGATAATGGGTATGGTTTTGTTTTGTTAACCAGTGCCCTAAGAAACATAATTTCACTTATATAAGGCTTTTACCCTCCTCTCGCTAGCAAATATCAGCGTATTTCTGTTAACTGTCACAGGGGTATGTTCAAAACAATACTTAGGAGATAAAATTTTGTCGTTTGAAATAGCAAGCAAATTGGCACTTGAATGTAATTTCTGTGGTAACTTGGCGCTGCCTTCTCTGGTTACTGGTTGTTGGCCTCCTCCTCAAAATGTTCTAGTATTGAAGCCAACACCCATGGCCACACACTGGGTGTGCTTGGCAGCTGCAGGGCCCAGATGCCAACCACTGGAATGTATTTTATGTACCAGTGTCTCTGCCTGTGGCTTGGCTTCCTGGCCAGCCTTTAGCAAATTCTCTTTACACTCATCTGGCTCCACTGCCCACTGCTGTTGCAGCTGTGGGACTAAAGAAAAAGCAAATTACAGATGAGCTGTCTCACCATTCCAGGAACTGCTTGCATCAGCTTCTAGCAAGATATATACACTGAGCTCTTTTAGCCTGTGAAAGAGATGCCCTTCTTGCCTGTATCCATTCTGTGGGTTGACAGGGGTTGAAATGGCAGCACATCCTTGGTAACCTGACAGACACCACAGAAAGGTATTTCTTGAGGTCAGACATGGAAGCTACAGTCCACTGGACCCCTGAGAGAGGTAAACCTTTGAGAGACTCCAGCTTCTCTATCAGTTGTCTATTGCAAACTCTTTTTAGCTAAGGCTTGAAGAATATAACATGAGCTCTGCACCAGATATTGCAGTTGCAATGGCTTGTGTCATTCAGCAGTTAGTGTGGTGATCAAGGCGTGGATTTATCTCTGCTGTTTCACAGAGATTTTTAGAAAAGAAGAAAGCAAAAGCACCTGGCAAGCAATCTGTCTCATTGTATGGGTGCATTTAACAAGTACAAGTGCACATTTTAATTGATGATCAGTTAGTTCAGCATATTACCACATGCTATTTATGGAGTTTCTTTTTGTAATATAATTACTAATGCTTATATATTATGGAGGGCTTCCAATCTTCACTCTTTCATTAGAGTGTTCCATGTGGTTTCCCTTCACCAGTTCCCTCTAGATTTCTGCATTTGACAGGAAAGCTGGCACCTTACTAAAGACACCACACAAAACACTAGAGATGCATTTTGCTACACACCCACAATACAGTAAAAGTAATTGACATAGCTGAAGTTACATGCATCTAACTCTGCTGAAGAAGCATATCTAGAAACTGTTAAGAAGCCATGATAAGAAAATATTGATGTATCAGATACTGAGAAGCACACTAAAATGAGATTGTTTTGCAACAATTGATTAAATTCATTTTAAGTGTGCAGAACACTCCAGGGGCTGATTTTAAATCCCTTGCTTGCTGTACAATCAATAAGTGTACAGAGGTGTAAAATCAATTGACGTACAGAGTTTTAGGCTAAGTAAGATTATTGCAACAGGAAGATAATAAATGGAAAATGCCTACCGATGTTGTAGGCTTGCAATATTCTCCAACTAGAACTACTCATGGAGACTCAAAGGTTTAGCTGAAGCACTGTGTAGATCTGTGGATCCTTACCTCTGTCTCCCAGCACTCACTGTGTAGCTGGACCCTTGTGTGTCCTGAGATAGGTGTCAATGGATGTGAGGTTGCCCATCCAGAGGCTTATTTTGTTCATAGCCTCATTCACTTTCGTTTGGCATTGTTGGCTCTCATTATGAATCAGGGCAGACTCAAAAGAGGGAATGCACACAAAAAAAAAGAGACTGAGAAATACAATTAAATTTCTCTGTCCATGTGTTCCCATGTACTAAAATTTGAATTAATTATCTCCCGATGTTATAATGTTTGACCATTCCTAATCTTTGCACAGGTTTTCCAGTGCACATTTCTGTAAGGCTTTTTTTGAATAATATTAAAATATGAAATTCTGCAGTACATTAAGTCACTCTGAGAAAAGCATTGATAACTATACTGTAAACATTTGGATGCCCCATAGGGCCAATTACATCTCCTTAACCTCACTGTTAGGGTCACATGAGGACAAAATCAATATGGCAGATATAATTTTACTATTGCTTTCTGACTAATCCTTAATAGGGCAGAGAAAAATTTCTGTGCAGAGGGGGAATAAAAGTTTCAATGTGGTTTAGTTAGTGAGAAGGGGAAACAAAGGTGACATAGAGAAGATGATAGTGTAGGAAAAGCCATTTATTAGCTATATTTTACTTTTTATATCCCAAAGAATATATCCAGTTAAATTAATATTAGAGAATGAGTATCAGTGAGAGTGATGTCAGCTATGCAATGAATGTCTGAAGTATGCTATTGGAATGCCCACTGAGACAGATATCTTTGCAGTGTTATTTTTTTATGAAGTGGTTTGCATCATATGAAAGCTTCCTATGAACTTGACCAAGAGATTATCTGAGATTCCCACCCTCAGGTTTTAAGAACCATATAAGCTTGCCATGGGATGCACTCATCTGAATGGCTGGTTGTGACAAAACTCTAAACAATGAGTGTTGTCCTTCTATAGAATTTGATTTTCATTATAAATATACCACCAGTGTTCTTAACCAGTTTATCAAAATTTATGTAATTTCTTCTCATTCTTTTAAATGCCTGAAAAGGAAAAATGGAGGTCTATATAAATATAAGCTTCTTTTCATAGAATTGAAATTAATTCGATATAATTGACTCTTGGAGGCATTAAGACTGCTTGCAGCCCATGCCAATCATTTTTTCTTCTGACAGAAAGCAAGGATAAAATAAACAAAAAGCCCAACAAAGCACATTACAGTCTCAAGGAATTTTGTTCAATGCCCTCCCAATGTCAGAAGAGTCAAACTTTTCATTGTATGAGCTTGTCGTGGTTTGACAGCTACAGGTTCCTTCTCGCTTTGATAATTCAGCCATTTGTTGAGTCTAATTTCATCTTTATGTGCATAAATGCAACCAATTTTCATGTTTCAACAGGTGGTATCTAGGCATCCATGCCATCATGCTTTCTGTGAGTAGGAAGCCTGCTTCTTTGCTGCAGAATAATTTCAGTGCTCGCTATGTGAATTCCTGACAATCATGCAAAGTGGAGGTGTAGACTTCTAAAGCAGTTTTAACAGCAGAGTGTTTCAACCCATTTAAAATGGCTATTGTCCATTTTCAGTACCCTTTTTAACACTTCGCTGCTTATTGTTTTGTTTCATTTCAGTTGTGTGAAGTAGTCCTTCGATTCACACACTTGAAATAATCATAGCAGTGGGGAATTGCAGAATTGAGACTCCAGAGTCTCCCTGCACTAGTTTTACCTCTGTGTGGTTTCATTACTTCAGTGGAAGTAATTCTGAATTCATGACAGCTACGTTAATTTGAATAAGTAAGACTAGAAAAAAAACAGACAGCGTGGTTCAAGTGTGTACAGCTGTTTTTCAGGTGTGAGAAAAGAGTCCTCTTCATGTTCTGAATGCAGCTAAGCTCATAGTAGATGCATACCTATTTTTCATACCAGTTAAGGAGGCGTTCACTGCCAGTCAAATTTGAAGGTGAACTGTTCATTTTTTTTTTACTCTGAATGAACATAAAGGATCCCAGGTCACCTTCTATTGAAGTAAAATTTGCATGAGATCCCTGGTCAGATTTTTCTTCCCTACTAAACAGCAGTGCTATCTGTTAGCGATTGTATAGATGTGCAATGTAGATGCATATGTTCACAGATATTGAATATATGATTTACCTACATACATAGTTTGTCAAGATATGGGTCAGTACAGTATATACACACGTACCTTCACTGATGTGTGTGTACAAAATCTAGATGCTCTTAGTAAGCAAGGATAAAACATATTCTATAAATTGTGTAAAGAAGGGATGGTATTGCATAGAGAATATGAGATATGTTGGACTTCCAGCACAGTCATTTGCAGTAGAACAGCTTGCATCTGTCTCCTGTTTCTCAGAGGCAGTGATTACAGTGGAAGTAAATCTTCTGACAAGTCTCAAAAGATTTTGTTCCCATTTTTCCCTGCCTCAGCTCCACTCATTTTTCTTCAGACTACATAGGCAAGATATTACTTTTCCCTTGACATTGTCACTTTATCCAATCCAGCCCCAAATCTTTACTAGTTCAGCATCTCCTCTGTCTCTCTCACCATGGAACTTTCTGCTGAACATGCATGTGTGTGCCCACATACAGCAGTCTGAAGCATTCCTTTGTCATGTTACTGAATCTTCGAGGTAAAATGACTTAGAAAGAAGGGGCCTCATCTGAGTGCAGGCTCTTGCAGCCAACACGCTGTTTGCCCACGTTTTTCTTCCTTCATGGTAGAACACTGCATAGCCATTGATGTCTGTGTTTACTGGAGTTTGCATCTCGGGAAATAGTTCAAAACAGAATGCAGCGGAAATCAATGTGTCTGCAAAAAGAACAACATGGAGAAGTTAAATAGTTAATCTTTAGTAGACACAAATCACATTTCCATCAAGTGCAAGCAGTCAGCTGTTATTGTAGGTCACTAAGATACAATGAATTATTTTCTGCAGTTCGTGGAAAACATTAGGCAGCTGTAATAAAGTCAATGGTATTTCCTTCCTTAGTGAAACATTACTTCAGCAAATCCCCCTGTTTTGTTAAAACACCATTTCATGCTTGATAAAATTTCATTAACTTCTTTTATACTTTTTTATTTCTTTTGTTGACTTCTACAGATAGTGAAAACACTGAGTGAAAAACATCAGAAATGGCTTTTCATGTTTAGGTGGATGATGACTGATGCTTAAACTTAAAGACTCCGTAAGCAGAAGGGGGAAGGGAGCACTTCAGTGGCCTTTATATAACATAGATATTCAGTCCAGGAAACATACCACAACATAAATATCTTTTTAAGACATTAAAACACAGCTTAAACAAAAGCTAGAGTATTTCATCTACAGCTCACCACATTTGTTTTGGCTTACGTGCTTATCTGTAATTATATACATTAACATAAAATGTTTCTGTTTTTAAAGTTTGTCTTGCTTTATAAATAGATATTTAAATCCTATACAGAGTATCTCTAATAAATTTCTTTATGTCAGACAGTATTACATCCTTTACTATTGTTTTCTTGTAAGATCCAATGAGAAAGAAGAATCTAAGGGTTCCTGTGAGTTCTGGACTGAGAGAAGTTTTCTGTCAGGACATTAATCTGTGATGAATCTCTCAGAACAGTGCGAAGGGAAGAACAATAGATGTTGACTGTACATATGCAAAAACTGGTCAGCCAGCTGGCCGTTCATTATCGGGGTAACACATTTACTTTCTGCAATAACAGCAGCCTCAGTGTTTCAAAAATATGCACAGTCCTATTGGCTCACAAACAGTAGCAGCTGGACCTCGAGTTAGGTACCCACACTTTAGTAAGTACACTAACATTGCAGCAGAGGAATGAGAAAAATGTAGGAATTAGTAAGGGCTAGAGGGGAAGGTTTGAATGGGAGGTTACAGCATTTTCAGTAACTGGATGAGGGTATGACTTGGATGAAACCAGCAAAGACTTTCGTAAATGTTGCATTAACTATTGGCAGCTTACTCATTTTAATACTGTTAGCACTGTATTATTAGGGTGCAGTTTCTTCCCCCCAAGAATTTCAAGCCACTTTAACTACTCCTGATATGTATCCAGATGAATGCAAGTCTGGAAATGATAGATATTGCAGAAAAATTTCCTGAAAATTCAGGAAACTCTGGAGAGCTAGTGATGATTTGCACAGGTTTTTTAAAGCTCATATTGCTAGAGCTAACAGATGCTGGCCCTGTCATAAGAGGGAGTATCAATAGTTCTCTCCAGAGAAATTGGGTGTGTTTGTGCCTGGGAGATTAACTAACCAGCCTGGAACCTAGCTCTTTGCCATCTATTTACAGCATCACAACAGGTCATGTTAACTTTCAGGAGAGGCTTTCCCTGACAGAAAAACTCATGTTTTAAGGAGTCAAATCAGTTGGCATTACACTCCTCTCTGTAGTATTGATAACATGTGGCTGTTGTGCTCTGCTATCCCAGAGTAGTGTGACAAGGAAGCCGGTAAAAATGGTAGGAAGGCTGAGGAACTCATCTCCTTGTCTGCCACCTCAGAGACTGCCTGGGTTGCTATTAACCAAAATCTGTGGATTTTGCAATTGGCAGTAAAGAAACCCAGCTCCTACAGTAATTGACGAGATACATGTGCCTAATCAGCTTCAACATTGGAAACCTTTACAACAAATCTTCTTGAAACCCTGAAATGTTTTGCAGTATTATTCCTCAGCTTTTACCTCACTCTGATGAAGGTCTTGCATATGACATTGCACTTTTTATCCATCTCAGCTACATGAACTCTTTGAAGAAGAGCTTTTCTTGCCTGGAGTGTTTACACAGTGTCCTGCACCCACCCTAGCTAGTGAGCACTGTCATATCCATGATCAGTTCTCTGTTTAGCAGCCGTTCAGCACTTTGAAAGCTGAGTACAGCCGTGGTCATCCACGTACAGAAAAACTCTAAATGACATAGATGCACAGGAGAACTAGCATGGACCAGAATGAAGTGAGAGGTCATCTTGCTCAGGCTAGCAAAGCATGGAGGGCTGAACTCAGAGGGCTGAGAAAAAAAAAAAAAAGTGAAAGCTGTAGGTTAATGTAACTTGGTATGGAGAATTTTATATTCTGACTAGCTTTTTCATTAACATTCATCTGCATATTTTAGAATAAGATTGATTAATTTAAAAAAAAAATCTGCAGTTCTCCTTCAGTTAGTTTATTTTCCACCATTTGCAAACCACACTTGCATAAAGCAAGTGTGCCAGTGATTGTAGGATACTGTGCTGCACTAAGTGTGAAACAGTTACTGTTACCATTGTGATTCCACCTCATCAGTCTTTTTAAAATTTCCTAAACTGATCTGTGAGTTCTAAAATAGATATGTGTTAGGAATTGCAATCCATTAAGAGTAAATTGATATGTATGTCACATTCAGATGTGTTTTCTTCTAGTTGTTGTTCTCACTGCTGAAATTTTAGTTCCCTGTTACCAGAACTTTGCTCAAGTTTCGAGGTAGTGACAGTGGTAAGTGGCTCACTCTGTGCTGATGATATTTTAGGCATGCAGTTCCTGATCTATTTTATATTTCACAGGACCCTGTGTACATACAATCAAACATACTTCTGCAAATCTTTTCTGTTTTTTGTTGTTTTTCTTTTTCTACATAAGCGTTCTTACTGTTTTATTGAGAAGAGTGGTTGTTAATATGACTTGTTGTACTTTCTTAGTGAGAGCTGATTTTTGAAGATTCATCTTAACAGTAAAGCAACCAGTCCAATTGAACTGCCCTATTTCAAGGGTGGAAAACAAGCAGGAGTAGGCTTCAACACAATGTGGAAATCTGCGTGGACATACACATAACTTCCTTTAAAACAAAACAATCCTGAGGATATGCAGATGCAGCTCTCTAAGCGCATCTGGCTAAACTGTGCCTTGCTGCTACATTAATTCATGTATTAACAACACACAAAACTGTAGTCAAGGTGTCACTAGACATAACTATTCTGTGAAGACAACCAATGCTGAAGTCATCTGCCTTTTATTGTTACTTGCCTTACGCCCACATTCTACAAAATGCTCATAATCTTTTTTTCTTTCGTCTTTTATAAGGTTTGTACTAAAGCCCAGTTTGTGCCAGAAAGCAGACTTGCAAAAAACCTTAAATTTATAGGAAAAACAAACAAATAAACGAACAAACAAACACAGCTGATATTAACTAAGGAATAATAAACACTAAATCATGTGTTAGAAGTCATCTTCTTGCAACTGGTTTTAACTAAGTTTATTTGCCAGTAAGCATGCCTCCATTCTTGCACTGGAAGCATTTCTACCTGAAGAAGTTATCTCCCCCATAGTTAAACTGATCAGCTCATTGTCTCATCAAGGATAAGATCACAGGGGATCACTGGGCCATCCAGTTTAAACAGTACAACACAGACCATCACTTTTCTTTCATTCACTGCTGTACTCTGTCTTCTATTCAGATAAGTAGGTATCCTGTTGTTCTTCAGATGAGAGATTTCTCCATTTTCCCATGGTAGTTTGATCTCTGTTTATCTACCGCCGAATTTTGCTTTTGTTGTTTTCTTTCTTCATTGTTCTAAGCAAGTTATTTTTCAGTCTTCTGGTAACATAAACAAATGCGGATTCTTCTTCGTGATTCTCAGACAGCCTGGAATAATTTTGTTTCCACGCTTTCCCGTTGCTCAACCTTTTTTAAAGTATCTCATGCCAGGGATGGGATTAATTTCACCTAAGAAGCACCCTTAGGCGTGCTACAGCCACCTTTAAGGTATTTTAGGATCTCTCTTATGTGAAGGCTGCTCCAAAAGTAATGCCTTCTGTTTTATTATGTTGGCCCATGATATCAGAGGCAAATGTCAGTTTGATGGCAGTAGTGGTTAAACCTTCCCACAAACTTTCCCTTATATCTTGTTGCTGTGCAACAGATGGCAGCAGAGGGACAGTTTGACAGAATGGCGTCTGATGTGGAAGTGCAGATGAGGCAAAGGTGTGAAATGGAGTTCCTCCATGTGGAAAAAATGGCACCTTTTGATGTTCATTGACATTTGTTGAACATTTGTAGAGACTAAACAGTGGATGTGAGTACAGTGAGGTGGTGGGTGGTGCATTTCAGTAGTCATGACAGCAACAGGAAAGAGAAGCCGCATTCTGGACAGCCATGAAGATTTTTACAAGTGAGGCATGACTGCTCTTGCTCATCACTGGTGAAAGTGCATAGCTAATGATGGTGACTGTGGTGAAAAAATATTATTTTATTGCTGAGAATTTGCTCTATCAAACAGTCTTCAGTCACTCTGTCCCTGGAGACTTGTCTCTGGAGACATTCACAGTCAGGCTGGTTGGGGCTCTGAACAGCCTGATCTAGCTGTGGATGTCCCTGGTCATTGCAGGGATGATGGACTAGATAATCTTTAAAGGACCCTTTCAACTCTAAGGATTCTATGGATTGTTTGATTCAACTTTACAATAGATGTTTGTAGAAATGAAGGCCATTGTTTTCACATTAAGACAAATTCAAATGAGTTTAAATCTTAGGTTTCTTGTAACTCATTTCTAGTTGAACATCACAACCTTTGGCATGTTTCATCAATTAATGTGCAAAGGAGATGGATGGAAGTCCTGCATACCACTAGTGGTAGGTGAGATGATAGACTGAAACCAGACGGGAAGTGTTTTGTCTGTGTTTTTTTATGTTGCAGTGTAAAATTCACCACCCACCCCACCACACCAACTACACATACATTCATTATCAGTCATATGCATATTTTATCCAGTAGCTTTAGTCTTCTGATTTCTTAGACATTTTTCTCCATATAGAATGAATTGTTTGTCAAAGAG